TAGCAAGTAGCATGAATCTAGTATTAAGTGAATAGCGAGTAAACCTATTCCGATTTCAACTCCATACATGTAAAATCCTTTCAACATCTAATTTCCCGATTAAGTCTTGGGTATGATTTTGTCGAAACCCAAATTGACTTAATAACTATGATTCTATTTCAAGTTTATTAACCCTGTTATGAATCACTATTCATCTCTGTCTTGGCCAAGGACTTTGCATTAATAACTATGAAACACATAGGAAATTCACTTATCTTCATAAGTGTCGAATCCTTTATTGGCCACTAACAAACTTCCATACATATTAACATAATACCCAACTTATCCCTTTAAACGATAGTGCTAGCTACCAAAAAGATAAATCAAAGTATAATGTAATATGCACAAAGTTACCATTGTGCCTCAAGTCTTAGGATTAGTCATGTACTATTGTAACATGAAAATTCTTATTCGACTGAATAAATTCTTCATTAAGAATTTTCATACGGTCATGTTCAGTGAACTTGTTCTCTAATAAGCACCCATATAAATGTACTTACGTCTTACGCTAATGTTGATGGAATGCAACATTCTTGTCAAACAAGCATACATACTATGTACAAGTCTTTTATGGATTATTCGATATCCCTTTTCGAAACATCCATCGACTTGGAACTTTATTTAAGATCACGGCTTCCAAGGTATGTTCCATGATCACCATCTCTATGCGCAACCATACCTTATAACCATAAGTGATCTAGGGATTTTATCTTAAGTGCAAATATAGGATAAATGCTTACTCTTAAGATAAAGTAATGCCTTTCAATTAATATAATTCCAATAAATTGTATTTACAAGTAGAATACATACAATCCAATTGGAACGCTGGGTATACTACTCTAACAATCTCCCACTTGCCCTAATTCCAATCACTCATGTATCTTAGACCCATCTTCTCAAGATGTCCTTCGAACACTTTCTGTGATAAAGGCTTAGTTAAGGGGTCTGCTATATTTTCTGCTGAGTCGACTCGCTCCATCATGACATCGCCTCTACCAATGATTTCTCTAATCAAATGGTATCGTCTCATAATGTGTTTGGATCTTTGATGAGATCTTGGCTCCTTTGCTTGTGCAATAGCCCCATTGTTATCACAATAAATCATTATTGGATCAACAACAGATGGTACTACACCCAACCCTTAGATGAAGTTCCTTATCCAAACAGCTTCTTTTGCAGCATCAGATGCAGCAATATATTCAGCCTCTGTAGTAGAGTCAGTAATTGTTTCTTGTTTGGAACTTTTCCAACTAACTGCTGCTCCATTCAGAGTAAATAAGTATCCAGACATGGATTTATAGTCGTCTTTATCGGACTGAAAACCAGAATCAGTAAAGCCTTCTAGTTTCAGTTCTCCATTGCCGTATACCATAAAGATATCCTTAGTCCTTCGTAAGTACTTAAGAATCATCTTAACGGCTTTCCAGTGTTCTTCACCTGGATTAGACTGATATCTGCTCGTTACACTAAGTGCATGAGCCACATCAGGTCTTGTACATAACATTGCATACATAATGCTACCAATAGCTGATGCATAAGGTATATGACTCATCCGTTCTCTTTCTTCAGGTGTCTTTGGAGACATCGTCTTAGAAAGAGAAATCCCATGACTCATTGGAATATATCCTCGTTTGGATTCTTCCATGCTAAACCGTTGTAGCACCTTATTTATGTACGTCGACTGGGATAGTCCGATCATCCGTTTAAATCTATCCCTATAGATTTTTATCCCTAGGATAAAGGATGCTTCTCCCAAGTCTTTCATGGAAAACTGTTTTGACAACCATGTCCTAGTTGACTGCAACATCCCTACATCATTCCCAATGAGTAGGATGTCATCAACATATAGAACAACAAATGTAACTGCACTCCCACTAACCTTCTTATAAACACATGGTTCATCCGGATTCTTATGAAAATCAAACGTTTTGATCGTTTCATCAAACCGAATATTCCAACTCCTCGAAGCTTGTTTAAGTCCATAAATAGACCTTTGAAGTTTACAAACCATTTGTTCACTCCCATTGGATATGAAACCTTGCGGTTGTTTCATATAAATGTCTTCCTTAATATTTCCATTAAGAAAAGCAGTTTTCACATCCATTTGCCATATCTCGTAGTCATAATACGCAGCTATGGCTAGCAATATCCGAATAGATTTAAGCATTGCTACTGGTGAAAAAGTTTCCTCATAATCAACACCTTGTTTTTGAGTATAACCTTTAGCAACCAGTCTTGCTTTAAAAGTATTTACTTCTCCATCTACACCACGTTTTCGCTTGTAAACCCATTTACAACCTATGGGTACAATACCCTGTGGTGGATCAACCAAAGTCCATACTTTGTTTGAATACATGGAATCTATTTCGGATTGCATAGCTTCTTGCCATTTATCTGAGTCAATGTCCAACATTGCCTCATCATAGCTTATTGGATCATTATCCAAAAGGAGTCCCTCTTCATTGTCTTTTGACAATAGGTATAGCCTTTCAGGCGCCCTAGAAACCCTTTCGGATCTCCGAAGAGGTTGTGTTTCAGATGGTCCAGTCTCTACTGGTATGTTATTTGTGGTACTTTGTGGAATTTCTTGTGGTTCTTCATTAAGTTCTATGACTCCACTATTCTTTGAGAGAAACTCTTCCTCTAAGAATATAGCATTCCTCGAAACAAACACCTTTTGTTCAGAGGGATCATAGAAATAGTATCCAATAGATTCTTTTGGATACCCCACAAATTTACATAAGATGGATCTCATATCCAACTTACCTCCCACTAACTGCTTCACATAAGCAGTACAACCCCATACTTTCAAATATTTGTATGAGGGTGATTTACCACACCATATCTCATAAGGTGTGCTGGGTACAGCTTTACTCGGCACTCTATTCAAAATATGTGCAGCTGTTTCTAAGGCATAACCCCAGAATGAAAGAGGTAAACTAGTGGAACTCATCATTGATCGAACCATGTCTAACAGTGTTCGATTTCTCCTTTCTGAAACCCCATTGAGTTGTGGAGTTCCAGGAGGTGTCCACTGTGAGATAATCCCATTATCCCTTAAATAATCAAGAAACTCATTAGTCAAGTATTCACCTCCTCGATCCGATCGAAGGACTTTAATACTACGACCAATTTGTTTCTCCACTTCATTTCTGAATTCTTTGAACTTTTCAAATACTTCAGATTTGTACCTTAATAGGTATACATAACCATACCGTGAAAAATCATCAGTAAAGGTTATGAAATAGTGATAGTTCCCCATAGCACTAACATTTAGTGGTCCACAAACATCTGTATGGATCAAATCCAACAGACCTTTAGCTCGCTCCACTTGTCCAACAAATGGTGATTTTGTCATTTTACCTTTAAGACATGATTCACATGTAGGCAACCTATCCTCTCCCATAAGGTCGAGTTTTGGTCCCAATTTGTGAATCCTCTTTTCAGATATATGACCTAATCTAGCATGCCAAATTGTGAATGAACTATGATTATCTAATTTCCTTTTATTTTGTTGAATGGTTAGGATGGGACTTTCTGGTGTAATGGTATATAAACCATTTGTCAAGTTTCCTGAATATATAAAAGTTGTATCTTTGAAAATAGAACATCTTCCATTTTCAATGACAAACTTAAAACCTTCCTTATCCAATATTGGAATAGAAATAATGTTTCTTATAATATCAGGAACATACAAACAATTTGAAAGACAAACTTTTACACCATTATTTAAAGCTAGATAAACAGTCCCAATTGCTTTGGCAGCAACCCTTGCCCCATTGCCCATCCTTAGGATTGTTTCATCATTTTCTAGCTTTTTACTTCTTGCCATAATTTGCAAATTATTGCAAATGTGTGAGCCACAGCCGGTATCCAATACCCAAGAAGATTCGTTAACTGATAAGTTAACTTCAACAAAATAAATACCTGAACTTTTCAG